TATAATCCAAACTGCTTTGGAAAAATGCAGTTTCAGAGAGATTTCCTTCAGCCTTTTTGAATTACTGTGTAAAGACATATGTTCAGTTGTGAGAGGTTCTTCCCTTTTAGTATTGCTGCCTATGGGTTTAACTTCATTTCATGAAGCAATTTGACTGGGAAAATAACCATTTTCTATGAGATACTTTTATTATTATGTTATGCTCTTCCACTAATCAGATAAAATAAAAAATGAAGATGAAGGAGGATCTGTAAGGTCTTTGTGCTAGTATTTATTTAAGGCTGTACTGCTTTTCCCTGTGAAAAATAGCAGATACTGAAGTTTTTGCTCTGGAAAGACTAGGAAATGTTGTACTAATGCACATTATTGAACAACTTCTATAAATTCAAGTGTCCTTTATGTTGGCAGTTTAAACTTGCGTTTACTGCTGCTGTAAATAGTTGCTTATATGGAATTCCATTTGTTACAGCTTTTACTGCTCTTGGTAGTTGTGTGGTAAAGATGTTCAGCTATCGGATCAGTTGATAAAAATCAGTAAACGCTTTGATTATCCTCTGTTCTTCTTTCATGAAGTTTGATTAATTCCTTTTTCTCACCCAGTGAAAACACTGGCAGCCCTTTTTGGCATCTTTGTCATTATCTCTTCGACAGCTTGCCTTCCCGGTGCTTACAGTTCTAGGTCAGTTCGCATGGCTAGTCAAATGTGACAACATGACAAGATTAAGTAAAGCTGAGGTTCTGTGATTTGTAAATGGAGGATTTGCAATGTGAAGCTCCTTTGATAACAGAAATAGTGAATAATCTGTGTTTGCCCTCAACAAGTGCGTATAAGCATGTGTGCATCTTCTGTACTGTTTTTAATGAAGCAACCAGAATTTTTTCTCTGATAGACTGAAAATAGTACACATGAAAGGTGGTGTGTGTGTGTGCATGTATGTATGGTTATATGCAAGTACATTAAATAAACAAGGATTCAGTTTTAGTATCTTGGTATTATCATATTACATTTAAAATATCAAACAAAAAAGAATATTATTGCATACTACAGAACTTTACACTCAAGCACAAAAGACTGCTTTAAAATTTAATAAACAAAGTACCTGGTATATTTATTATTGAACTAGATAATAATTTATTC